ATTTATTATGCTCAAAAATTTTCGCCTTTTCTTCATCGTTATTTCATTCCATAGATGTTCATTACCAAAACTGCGTCGTAAAGTTGATCACACGAAATGTGATAATAACTTATCATGGCAATATGGTAAGAGGGTGAGCCATGGGTGTCGAGGGCATTTGTCGAAACGGTCGGATTACGCTCTCAAAACTCATCTCATTCCTATGTGGTATTCCTAGCCTGCAATCTCTGAAAGCATACACGAGCTCCCTTAGAAATGAACTCCAAGCGGAAAGATGGTGAGGAATATCATGGCACAGTAGAAGAGAATATTCTCTGTCTCGTAATCGTAGAATTTTGCGAAGTTCTGCTTTGTATTGTGCGTAGCGAAGTTTTGCTCAAGAACAAACTTTTACAGTAATCCCCGAACAATTTGCACATAGTAGCTTGTCCAAGATTGAAGAAGTTTTTGTTAGGCTCGCATTTCAGCTTTTTGCCTCAGTCAGAGCCCAAAAAGTCGTAAAACGGTTGAGGTCGACCCTTTCATAAACTAAACAATCCTTGGGAGTAATCCCCCAGAATCATACATAGGCTACCAATTGGATCTATTAGACGACCCGCTTATAGACGACTATGGGAGTTTCTACATTTGTAGAAAACTCGATGTAACATGTTGCACAACGAAATAGGCGATTACTCGTTTGGTAGCCTACTAACCCCATTTCCTCGAAAATCTGCATGTCCCCAATACGCTCCCTCCCTCCCCATTGAGGAATCTTCGTCGTTGGCTCACCTGCTAAGCATAGACTATGAGCAGAGCTTTATCTAATAAACTTGACTTAATTCAAGTACCAAATAAGTAAAACTAAGTTGAGGTTTCAAAAGTGAAGTAAATCGGCTTCATATTAAGATACCTCCGATGGAAATTCTGTCTCATAAGAAGGAACCTTATGAATGGATTGAACTGGATCGCGTGATCATGGGTGGATACGGTATGTCTTCACATTTCCATTCTTGAAATTGTTGCTGAGCATGCTCAAAAAGCGTAGGAATAGTCTGTTGCGCCTGAGCCTACTGAGGCGGGGTTGAAGTGGCATACTGGATATAGGCACATATTAAGTCGCTCTTTTTTTCTGGTGCGTGCCCCTTCGATGTATTTCCAGTCTCTTCATTATACCTTGTATTTTCCATCTCACAGCCATTAGTTTCATTAATCGAATAGTTAACATTCAACATTGCCTCAGTATAATTTCCGTAGTCGCTTGCGTAGCAACGGAGTGGTAGTAGATGAATTGTTCCGACTGGTTGTAAGGCCAAGTATTTTGTAAAATGTTTATTATTAAAGAGAGGAATCGTGTGAAAACGACGCACATCAATGAGGTGGGAGACTTCGTTGACCGTGTTCGAGTTCATCTCCAAAATCTACTCAAAAAGCCGGTGCGGCTCCATGTGGGTAGTTTGTTTTCTTTTGTTAATTTTGAAGCTGTTCTATCATTGATCCGTGTTCTAGATTTTTGGATCTCTGTTGAGTGGTTTCGGTGTGTCGAATTCTGACGTTGATCTCTGCTTCCGGTTTCAGCCAGATGAACAGCCTCTGGTACGATTTGTTTCCAGTTTGTAAAAAGAAATTGCCGTTCGGAAAATGATAATGCAGCGGCGAATTATGTAGATAAATCTTATTTTAGGTAATATATATTAATTAAAAACGAAACTGTAGTAGTGAAAGGGGAAGAAGTAAGATTAGTTAGCTTTTGTCTATTTACACTGGACTAGGTATAGGTCTCCGAGAAGCATCAACCAACATTAGTGATGTCTGGGGGAATTTGAATAAGATCCCGTACTTAATTACTACTAATTACGTTCCTTTTAATAAATGCTTCCCAGGTCGTGACTATAAAAACTTGCGCTACTTCAGGTAAAAATTTCAGAATCCGATCGTTCGAGAGATGATAATTTTTAAGTGTAAATTTCAAATGTTCTGTTTTTCTTCGACTCAGCAGACAATCCTTGATTTTTTGTTATCACCCATCGCTTTTATGCCTTTTGCCGCAGTTGTTCAGCAGTCTCTACCTGCCGGCCGCGCGGATTTCTGTTTCGAGCCAATTAGGCGCTACCTGGCCAGTTAACGCTGCTAATTGTTTACGAAAATCCTTATTCGTATGTTTATGTCAAATATTTTTGTAGGAATATTGACGGCGTGAGATTGTACGGCAAATTGCGGCAACATCGAACAACATGATGAAGTTGAATAACGGTGTATGCAATAACCGGTGCCAAAGTCCCTATTGTGAAGTTCAATTGGAAGAAACTCGGTGTCGAAGGAGAGTGAGTTCTATTCTGTTATACTTCGCTTAGATTGGAAAGAAGACAAGACAGATTTCTGAAAGACTTTTCAGCGTTTTTTTTTCAGCATTAGTTATTACAATGTGTTGGCACTTTCAAATACGGAGATGCTCAAGAAGTATTGCTCGTGGGACTGTCGAGTTGCACCTCTTGGCGTTTGGATAAAAGCGGGTGGGTTTTAGTCATACTGTATGATCAACTCATGCATCATCTTTCAAATACATCTTGTAACGATGGTTTTCTTCTTCTCTCGTGGTAAATTAACAAGAGTTTTTAGTTTTTTCTCTTTTAAATAAGTGACCCGCATTCCTATTACAATCCTGGGCTTCCCCCTTTTTGTGATTGTTTTGCAATAAGGCACGTTTTCCGCAGGTGCTGAAGTTCACCGACAGCAACTGCGAGCGTACTCATTGGATGTCTATTTAGTAATTGTCTCACAACTATAACATCCTATTACAATGATAATACAAGGCAAAGCATAATATAATTGTTACCGATTATGTAAGTTAGCAGTTAGAGGTCGTTTCTCTACCATTCTCTTTACACAGCAGTGGGGGCAGCAGACTGTCTGGCAAAAACTCGTGCTTGCATTGAATTGTAGTAGGCTCAAATGGTTTTTTTTTAACCCATTGCGTACGCGTGCTGCACATGGTGCAGCACGGGTTTTTGAAGGGTATTTTCGACATTTTCTCGTGCTCTAATCTAATAGTAATGATAAACTGAATCCGGAGAATAACATACAGACGTGGGACTGCGCAATGAGAAGGAATTCCTGAATTACTGGTATTTGTTGTGAAAAACTCCAGTTGCACTCTCTCAATTTTTTCGCTAAATTGTAGTAAAAGTGAAGGAACGGCTAAGCGACAACTTCGAGCATATAAAACAATTAAAGCTACTACGTTTCAATCACTTTCAGCTCTTTTTCCACTTGTTATATTCTTCAAAACTCTTTTTTCAATTCTGTCGCATTTTCGGTTACCCTACTCCCTACATCATGCAATAATAACTAATTCCACTGTACAAAAATAAACATGAAATACTGCAAATGTGTAAGATATATGCGCAGTGCTTATATAATAGGTGTTTGTAATTTAAATGAAAGTTTTATTAGGATCGCGCAGCATGCGGCGGGGGTCTAAATAGGCGCCGGCCACACGCGCCAGCCAGCCAAAAAACGCCGCGGTACGCAATGGGTAAATCTAATTTAAATTTTGGTCTGGTGATTCTGAGGGAACATTTTGAGTAGTCGCCCCAGAAGTTGTCGACAGTTTAGCTTTCTGCATGACCCAAGCAATGAGTCATAGAAAGTAGTGTTTAGGTCTCCACGTTCACCAGTCTTTAAGGTGCGCGACGCATTAGGTTCCTGTTAAGAATCGAAGTGCAGTCGGAGTGAAGGATTACGTAACTATTAATATTAACATGTATTGTATGTGGTTAAAGCTCTTTGCTCAATCTGACTCCCTTATAATCGACATTCCTTTTTTATTTCTTATAAATTTGAGTAACTTCGTGAAGGGCTTTAGAATCTCGAGGTCGTATTTTTTTCCTTTCTATGGACAACTATTTACTCGTATTTATATCCTGTCTTAAGTGGTCTTGTAAATAATTTAGTGAATAGCTTTCAGTGGGCGAAGTCGTGCGATATCGGAGATGCGTCTCGCGGATCGTTGTCCTCATACGCGTTCATTATTTTGCTCCTTCATTTCCTGCAAAATTGTGATCCGCCGGTACTACCGCGACTGCAAGAGGTACTGATTTTCATTTTTCAATCGAAATTTTTTCAAGCTTCAGTCTTCATAGGTTATTCAATCGATGTTCTGAAAACACACAGTAAGCAATGCTCTCATTGTCACCGCGTTTTCGGTTCGAAATGAAATCTGAGCCTGTTCGGCTCATACTATGATCTGCAATTGCATACATCAATGTTCATATACTACAGATGGACATTTTCCGACGCACCAACCCCGAAGTAATAGAAGACTTAACTGAGTGGATTAGATTCGATGCTCGGATCATGTTCATGAAAAGCGCTGTTATTTACCACAATAATAGTAACCCTCTAAACCCTTTTTGGTCTTGTTCGATATCTCAAAAAATTATCGATTTTTTCCAAGCAGCGTATTGCAAGCCGTCAGGCACAGGTCCAAATAAGTACCTTAAGTTCCGCTTTATGGTAGAACTTTCAACAGTTACCGCTGTGCTACCTTGTAACTAAATAAATTTATTGCAAAAAAAATCAAAAGCAAAATTGATTTGAGATCTCTCCATCGCACTGAGAGAGCTTCTCTCTCTCTCTTCAAAGGAGTCATGGTTAGTATCAAATGGTAAGCTGGAAAAGCGCGATAGAATGTAGCAGAATTTTGGTGGGAGAATACCCAGCTAACTCTGTGTGAGGGGGCCCTTTTTATTAAGAGACAGTAGTATTTTAGTATTACGTAAGCTTGTATAAGGTTACGCTTGGAATTCTAGACGGCTCAAGTCAGTTTGTGGTTGCCATCCAAAGATAAAATTGTCATCTAGCATGCGTCAGCTTTCAAAAGTATTCTCGAAATATGGCAAAGTATCCAATTCTGTGGGGCATAGAAGTTACCCCGAGGATACCATAGTTTTGTTATTACCGAAAAATCGCCAGTGGTATTATTTTTTGCCACGTTTTTTCTGATCTTGAAAAAATATTCGTCCATTGACTGTTTGAAATGTGTTTAATTTTCTTGCTCGGGAATACCCGTGACTCAATCGTGTTGAGTTATTTGGCATGGAAGCAGTCTGTAACAAAGCCCGCCAGTTCATTGTTTTTACAAGTCCTTGAAGTGGAATCTCAAATCAATTTTATGCTCTAAATGACATTTTTAATTTACAGTAGCTTATTTCAGGACTTCCGAGACAACAATGTGCAGCCAATTATGGTAGAAAACTGCGACGTTTACTTTTATCGTGATGTGATCCCTGACTGGTCGCAAAACAGACAGTCGATCAGTGAGCTGTTCGTCGGGTTTCTCAACTATTACGCTCAGTTCGACTTCGGGACGCAGGTTTGCACTTGCTTGGTGTTTTGAACTAAGGCCTCAGCTATTCTTATAGTCTGGGATTTCAATTACTTTCTTTCTTCTTCTTCTTATTCTTTAGCGTCTGTCCCGCTTGTAGGCGGGGTCCGCTTTTCTGATGTGTTGACGCCACTTTTCCCGATTAAATGCTTGATCGGGGTGGATATTAACTGACTTCAAGTCTACGTGCAACGTATCGAGCCATCGCTGCTTCGGGCGCCCCCTAGGCCGCTTTCCGGGCACGTCAAGGTTGAGACCGATCTTACAGACACTGTCATCTTTCGCGCGAAGGACATGACCATACCATCGAAGACGGGCTTCGCGCATCTTGTCGACAATTGGAGCCACCCCGAATCGCTCTCTGATGACATCGTTTCGGAATGTGGTCTACTCGTGTGACTCCGGCTGTCCAGCGCAGCATCTTGGTCTCCATCACACCGTTTCGATACCGTTTACCGTCAGTTTATTCGCTTTACAAGTTTTCTATCACCGAGGAAGAAATTGCACCCATCACCCTTAACGAATTCGATGTAACTTTTAACATTACTTTTTTAAATTAGCGCATAACACGTTTTACAACGCATCTCAGGAATGGGGTGCTAATGTAAAGCATAAATTAATAGCCTTATTTTTGCCGGCTCATTAAATGATCGATAAGAAAATTTGAAGTAGTGAGACGTAAGGAGAGAACTGCTTTGTTCATCTGAGGTTTCGAACTTCAGTTGTTTCTGGAACGAAATAACTGGCGAAGAGTGCACACAAGGCTTCATATAAGTATTTCCAACGTTCGACATGTAGCGCATGCAATTATAGTTTCTTCATCATTATTTTCAGCGCTCGTATGATTCTCTCTTGTTCAGAGCAACTGCAATTTCAGATATTTCAAATTTACCTTTCCTTCTAGAGATTTAAAGATTTCTAGCTTTTTGAGCTTTCCTGTATATTTATGTGTTTTTGTCCTGTTCGAAGGTGTACACGACCATTGACCTTGATTATGGCGATATCGCGTCTCCTGTAGTTAATTGTAGTTAACGAGGTCTTTTCATTCCTGGGAAGCCGACAAAGAGCTGTTCCAGTAGTATTGTCCTTCCATCTCTGCAGGTTGACAGACATTTTGCAAATATTGTTGATGTGAAGTACGGTGTAGATGTAGTCACAAGCCGGAAGCATCAAAAGAAATCTTAGTAACCGTAGGAGGGCGAAGATGCATGTGATACATTCACATACCGTTTCTATCTCAGAAGCTGGACCCTAGTGCGTTCTCCTTCCGTCGTCTTTCAATTCTTTTTTTCGCCCCATTTTCATACAAACGCTTTTTGAGCTATATTTTAGTTTAGTTTTTTACACGAGCGCTTGCCGTAAATTGAAGGACCTTTGCTTTGCCATTTTGCTCTCGTTTGATAATTTTGCGCTTTCTGTCCATTAGGCAGGGCTTACCTATGCTGGTGGTCGTTGAGTACCGACACGCAACACCGTTGTTCATCGTTGTGCCGTTCCCTGTCATTGCTATACCACATGTAGCGCAGCTCGCTGTCACTTTCTGTGCCTTCGCGCCTTGTGTTTTTCGCGGCTGCATTGTTAAACGAGCTAGGGCGGCAAAGGGTGAAATTTTATTTAGACACTTTTCTCTGAGGCCTAGAGTCAGGATCAAGAGAGGGAGACAGATCTCACAGGGGTTAGGTCTTTCCAGGGCAACCCGTGCTCTTCGGAAACGGTTCTGGCATTTAGGGACGCATGTATGGACCACAAAACCATGTTTCGTTTTCGCTGAACGGTTTTAGTAGTATCAAAAAAGTGGTGAATGAATACTCTTGATGGTTCGATCCCCCGCGGCGACTAAATTTTGCAATCAAGGTTGGCGGCCACTTGTTGGCTTCAAAATGGTCCTGACGATGAATTTGACATCTGATTTTGATATTTAGCGCGATTTGGCACCAAACCGTAGGCGCCAACCCAAATGCAAAATTTAGTCGCCACGGGGGATCGAACCCTTAACAGTACCTTATGCTTCTTTTTGGTACTGCTAAAACCGTTCAGCGAAAATGAAACATGGTTTTGTGTTCCCTACATGCGTCCCTACAATATGCAAAAAACCGTTTTGAAAAAGCGTGGCTTGCCCTGAAAGACCTCCCTTGTAAGAGCTTCTGGCTGAGAAGCAGCTCATCATCGTGAGCTGTGGTCTGCTTCTTCCCATTTTGTTCGCTTGCTCAACTCGAATCACTGCATTCCTTATTTTTCCTATTACTATTTAAGAGCCTTTATTTAGTAGCTTGTAAAGTGTGGGCTTGCTGAGCTGTTGCACTGGAACTGAGGAGAGCCTCCGCGAGAGCTTCAATGGTGTAATAGCTATCACATCCACTGGGAAAGCGTTCGGCCACGAAATTGGGTTATACGTCGATGTTTGGTCCTTCACATGGACCAGCAATTTGTTAGAATATTCGTAGTGTTTCTTTTTCAATGAAGCTCCTTTTCCTTTCTGCGGAAAGTTTTTTGCGCAGTGGCGAAATCGACTGGTTGTCACATTGCGACAGAAGAAACCAACTTCTCTGCTTCATTCTGAAGAAAAAGTTTGAAATTACATGATTTGTATATTCTTCACAATTCCTACTTTGAAATCGATATCATTCAGAGGGAAGCTTGTCAATATGTAGAAGTTTTGATTAGATTTCATCAGGGCCAGTGATTTTTATACGCAAAGTTACACGTCATGACCCAAAGGTTGAAGGTTGAAAAAGAAGCCTTTTGTTAATTTATGTTGTCTTTTTGTCTTCATAGTACGCCTTTATCAATTTTTAGTTCGTCAATCTTATAGGTTGTTCAAATTCGTCGCAAGAAACCTTTGTTGAAAATGGAAAAGGATTGGAATCGTCCGTTGTGCATAGAAGATCCATTCGATCTACACCATAACTTGGGATCAGGTGTCTCGAGGAAAAGTGAGTTGTTTTCTATCAGACTTAGTTAGACGTTAAGCATGTTTGAGTCCATCGTTGCATAATCATGTAAATGATAATAGAACAAATTTGACATGATAA